CCGTGCGGCTCAAGCCATGTTTTATCTATCAGCATCCCACTTAAGCAACAGTAGAGTGGAGCAACCAAAGCATATCAAGCGTGAGGAGATGATGTGTTTTCATGTGATAAGCTTTAAAGCTGCACTTGGCAAGAAGTTTATACCAAAATACTTCACGCTTGCAGGGGAGCTAGAAAAGACTGTAGTGCCTCTGAAAACTTTGACATATTTGCGTAAGTGAAATAATTTTACGGAAGTTGGATCTCCTCTTGTTTAAGGAAGTGGCACTCTTTTCAGTGAAAACTAAAACTCTTTCTCATTTCTATCCTCCGAAGCCACTGAAAGGATGACATTTCAGTCCAAAAAGAATTGATGACATCACATTACACATTTGGGGCTTTTTGAAGTGTTGAAACTTCAAACGGAGACGTCTCGCTGCCATTTGGGACTGACAGTGTGCCGAGTTGCCTGGTGCAGCTTTAAATAGAAGACATTAATGAGTGCTTCTTCTAAAATATGCATTCAGTTCTATTTAATCTTTGCCTTCCTCGCATTGCAGCAGCTTGAGGTGAATTATTCTGAACTTTATTTGACTCACGCACAATGGATTCCTTTGGATGCACAATATTGAAGTAGGCAATAACTACCTTTGAAATACTGCCAATTTGGCTACTAAAAGACAACAGTGTTAGATTTTAGCTATGAGATATATTCCTTCCTGGTCTGAAGGAGATGTTGGGCCTGTTTTCAATGTTATGTATACTTATTAAATTTATTAGTTTAATATTATCATGGTGATTTTATATGTACCAGAACAAGGTCCTATGGGCTTATCTGTGGGCTGATCTTTGTATTTGGTTAAAAAACTTAAATTCTCTACAGCAAAGAAAAAAAGGCAAATGTTAAATGTTTGCATCCTTCATTTTGGCTCGCTACAGACAGGAATTAATTCTGTTATTTTTTTTTTGTTTTATCTTTGTTTTCCCACCTGGTTAATAAAATGTTTCAATGTGACTAATTTGAATACATTTTCTATTTTCCTGGACATTGTCCATGCACCATGGAGAGTCCATTTGACTGAAGGCTTTTATTTGGTGCAGCTTCTAATGCACAATGTCCAATGCGCCATATGCAAACAACACAAAGCACATGCTTTTCCTTTCTGCCTGACAGGCCAGATCTTATTACAGTTGAATGTTCCGTGCACAGCTCTGTGCCGAGGCCTTGGGAGTCTCTTGCTATCAGCGCAGGGCCAGACGGCACAGCAGCTGTTTTAATACTGCCCCTTATGTCCCCGTTGATCCAACTCAGCTCACCTGGTGAGAATCAAGCCACTCTTTTTTTTTTTTTTTTTTAATTTAATATTTTGCCAGCTTGGAAGTACTTTCTGCTTTGTTTGTTTGTCCTATCGCTTTTCCTTCCAGAAACACGACTCCTCTCTCCTTTGGCAACTCTTAAGGCAGTGCCTACCCCATCCACAGGTGTATTAGAGCATGACTGTTCCCCCAATCATCCTCTTGTCAGTGTGAGAACAAAACAGCAGCAGCACAGGCAATAATGCCAGCCAACCTCAAACCAGTAGCGCACCTACAGTCCTCCCTACAGCTCCACCTACTTCTTTGTCTCTCTCTCCCTCTCGACAGTTCTACACTTCTCTACTTTGCCTATCTCTTTTTCCGTTTTTCTCTTCTGTTTTTGCATCACTGATTTTCATTAAGCCCCCACTCCAACCTACCTTCTTAGAATCTCATGCATGTATGTGACAGTGCTTTCTGTGGCATTTGCCACTCTGTTATGTAGTCTGTAATTATAGACTCTGCTCAGCCAAAGAGTCCAACAGTCCTTGAGTGAAAGGGTTCCCAGTGGGGGCTTCTGGCCCTTTCACAGAGTGAATTTGGGCTCTGTGACTGTATAATTATGCCTATTCCTCGAGTTTCCATTTGCATTAGTTGCTGTTTAGTTGATTCAATCTGAGTTGGTAGCATCAGAGAAAGAAGGAAGGAAGAGCAAAGCGAGAGGGGGAAGGGGCTCTTTGCACAGCCGGCCCCTGCCACTATTGTTTTAGCGCTGAAATGGATGAGGTCTGGCCAGGTACATATTTATGAGTTCTTTACAGCCCCCGCCACATGCAGCATGCAGCTCCTCCACTTCAGACCAACTTAAGATTAAACTTTAACTAGTGTTGTCACGCAGTAAATTGTGTTTGCTATTTCAAAAATATCATACTATAGCTGCCACAACTGGTAATCTAAGCTGTGATAAAATGGAGTAAAGCATTGCCCTGGGGTGCACAAGGACACAGGTGGTTCTCAAGGTACAGATGACAAGGTTGCCAGTCCTCTCTGTCAAACTGCATTAGTAAATCAATCTGTCATCTTCAAATCCCCCAAGTCTAAATCTCTATAGAGAGGGTCTTGCTGATGTGGTCAGAAGGAAATGAAAGATGATGTGCACTCAGTAACTTCAAAAGGTTGTCACTTTATTTTTTTATGTGATTTGATGTAGGCCGCAAAGGCAGCATTTGAGCGAAAGCACATAATAATAGATCGAAATTGCCTTTCTCTCATAATGCATTGCTTTCCAGCCTAAGTCATTCAACCTGAGAGTTCTCAGCCTGCTGAGGAAAAATACATGGTTAATCTTAATGGTCTACCCAGAGTCTGCACCATTTCCTCTCTACATGCATGTATTGGGCCTTCACGTCCTTTGGCTGACTACCTACCGTTTTTACAAGAAAAATCTTAACATAACAGTCGCTGCCGGTACTTAAGACAGTTTGACAGCCTTGCATACACAGAATTCGCTTTCCCCTCTTCCTCAGATCCTTGTATAGTTAAAGATCAACTACATCAGATATTGTAGTGAATGAGTGTATACAGAAATGGATTTCTCTCACGCATTCTTACACATTTTAAAGCCCCCCTGTGGAAACTTTATTTCTGAGGGCAGCGATTATCCATCATTGTGATGCAGTTATTCAGCGTTAAAGAGCCGCTCTGCTTGTGGTGCATATGTTTAGGCCCCACTTCTCTACTTGAGACCACAGCATATTTTCAGCCTGTTTATGAGTGGATACATTGGTGGCTTTATGAGTCCTGCGTGATTAACGAAGGAATTTCAGTCTTTCTTCCTGCGGATAGTTGTGTATCCATAGAAGATAATTATGGCTGCCTCTGGTTGTAAATACAAGCTCAGTCAGGGGCTGTCGCTTCAGGAAATGGGACATCATCAGACTTCACCTGGAAACGACCATAAATTGTAGCACGAGATAACAAAGAAGTGTTGAAACAACAGGATGTAGGTGCCCTGCAATGGCACATCTGTTCAGACTGCTGACACTGCAGAGCTCAGAGCAGGTTTAAGTGAAACTTGTACTTGTTTGTTATCCATGAAGAAGACCTATTACTACAGATTATAAAAAGAAACCAAAAAAATGCACTAGTTACCTTCAGCATTAATTTCAATTCAATTTTATTTATGTAGCGCCAAATCACAACAACAGTCGCCTCAAGGCGCTTTATATTGTAAGGTAGACCCTATAATAATACATACAGCAAACACTTGGCGACAGTGGGAAGGAAAAACTCCCTCTGAACAGGAAGAAACCTCCGGCAGAACGAGGCTCAGAAAGGGGCGGGGCCATCTGCTGCGACCGGTTGGGGAGAGAGAAGGAAGACAGGATAAAGACATGCTGTGGAAGAGAGACAGAGATTAATAACATGTATGATTCAATGCAGAGAGGTCTGTTAACACATAGTGAGTGAGAAAGGTGACTGGAAAAGAAATACTCAGTGCATCATGGGAATCCCCCAGCAGCCTGTCTATTGCAGCATAACTAACGGAGGATTCAGGGTCACCTGATCCAACACTAACTATATGCTTTAGCAAAAAGTTTTAAGCCTAATCTTAATTAGGCTTAAAACTTAATGTATTCTTTTTCAACTAATCAGTTATTCAGTTTGGAAAAATTGCTGCTCGCACTGAATGACATCCCTGACTGAAATGACATCCATGTTGAGACTACAGATTGTGTCAAGCCAATAGATCCAAACCCCAAAATGTTCTGTTTATACTGATATAGAAAAAAGTATCAAATGATCAATTCTGACAGATCGGTATGTGTGAATAAGGGAGTGACTTGTGTAATTATTCTTCCTGTCACTTAATTTTCCATCTTATGCTTCCAGTTCTTAATAAAGGCATAGAGACTGTAAGGAACAGTTAATCCAAGGCTGATAACTGCTAATGTTAAATAAAAAGCAAAAACGCATTACAAAGAACGGTATTCAACAGTTCAGTTTAGCACAAGGTCAATATATGCATGAAAGACTAAACCGAAGGTCCATGTTCTCTAATTGACCTTTTCTTTTGCCACCATGCTCCGCACAGGCTTAGATAGTAAAGGAGGAGTGCCTAATTGCTGGGTTCTTTTAATACAGCTAATGTGTGTTCTCATTGTTTTGAGTGCTTACACAGGACTACACATTGTTTCTCCTAATAGGAGCTCCAGGCAGTCATTGAAGTATTTGTGAGTAAAAAGTAATTAAAATTACAATAGGCTACCCAGTGTGTTGCTGGGTAGGTGGAGGAGAGCGCAGCAGACGACGACTTGGCTCCAGCTCACTGCCCTTGTACTCATTCATTAGTGATGCATTGGTTCTCGCTCGGCCCTCCCATCTCATCAGAAACAGCACCTTTGTGGACAAAGGCAGGCTTGTATGGATGTGCCCATTATGTTAATAACAACTCCCACAGCTTTCGCACACAACCACCACCATGAACCAACTTGTTTTATGTATAGGGGGCAGATATAGTATCTGTGGCACACAGGTGCGTATGGTTGAATCCACGAGTCTGACTTCTGAGTGTTGTGCGTGCTTGTACTACCTAGGAGGCTGAATTGACTCCTTGACTTTCAGTGCATGTACTTGCTATTGACTGGAGTGCTTGCTTGGCCTTGGACACTTGTTAATCGTAATTAAATGTTTTTTTTTCCTTTCCACCCCCCTCTTTGTGTCTAGCTGGCAGTGGACAGATGGTACAGATGGACACCAGTAAGTCTGGCTTCGTGGGTTCACAAGTGGAGCTGCGCTGCGTTTTCAGCAACAGTAATCCACCAGTCAAGATCTCCCAAGTAACCTGGCAGAAGCTTCTCAATGGCACCAAACAGAATGTGGCCATCGCCAACCCGGCCCTGGGTGTGTCTGTGCTGCCGCCCTTCAAGGAGCGGGTCAGCTTCAAACATGCAGCTGTTCGTCATCGTACTCCCTCATTGGAAGACACCACAATTGTGTTCTCCAACCTGCAGCTGTCCGACGAGGCTGCCTACATTTGCGAGTATACCACATTTCCTGCAGGCAACCGTGAGAACATGGTCAACCTTACTGTGTATGGTAAGAACTGCACTGATTTTAATTCTGCTTTAATCTGTAATTTGAAAGGAACATTTTTTTTCCTAATCTGGTTTTAGCAGTTCTGTAGGGATCTAAATCTTAGTAATCTAATCTCTCATTGTTTCCCATTCTCCAGGCTTGTGTCTAGAATTTATCCAAGACTTATCTCCAATAAAGCAGTAGCTGAACATTCAAAACATGTTCGTAATGTATATATGGACCTTTGGGTTTCTCATTAAAACTGTGAGAGATTTCATTAATGGCAGTAATATTCCCAAAACGCTGCCTGATAAACATCCATCTTCAAGACGTCTACATTTAAGAAAGGCTAAATTGTAGCGAGATCAAATTATTAAGCTTAATCCACCGAGTGAATGGGAACATTTAAAATTACCAGCTTCTGGGAAACAGAAAGTATGTCTTTAGTGAGTGGAACAACCTGCCCAACATATTCTGTGACTTCTTACAAAGATCCTATGGAAAAAAAGTTAGTCACATATACTTCACTGGAAAAGTTACCTATCTTTAGAGTCAAGATAAGAGAGTAAAACCCCCCCCAAAAAAACAGGTTAAACGTCTGAACATCAGTTAAGGAGTTATTTCCTGGAGCACGCTTATGCTGGTCTGATGAACAATCAAAGGAATGAAAACCCTGTTGCTCAAATTTGGTGTCCTATTGACTTTGAAACAGATCAAACAGGGTCAACCTGACAACCTGAGTGAAAGGCTTAGTAAAAACATATTTACAGCTCTTCTCTTCGACGCCGGCTGCTTTCTATATGTTTGCTGAAGCTCTCGGTATAACTGTCCTCTTTGTTGTTGAAACTATTGAAGTTGCAGAGCAGCACCAAGAGCCACGTCAATGAATGATATATATATTGGTGAATTCCATATAACATGGGCCTAATAGCTTTTATAAAACAGGAAACTTTCGCAGAGGTTAGTTGATAAAAATGGCAGGTGAAATGGAAATCAATAGGAGCACTTCTGAGTGTATAATTTGGCTTGAATAGTAGTGTGGCAAAAAAAAGAGATGTAGTTTATCTTGGAAAGAGGCAGCTTTGAAAAGGTTGCGTGCTGACTCTGATTAGAGAGCTAATTAGAAATTAAGTGTTGGTTTGTGTTCTATTGAGCACCGGTAAAAGAAATAGCACTTGGCTTAAGTAGTCCCTGTTGCCGGGTCTTCTTAGTCAGCTCCGAGTCCCCATTTTGTGTCATTTGGCCTCCCAGGACTTTTTAGGCTTCAGTGACTCAGTTTTTAGGCTCAGTGAACATCAGGAACATGTGTGCAGATAACCAACCGGCAGCCTTCAAAGAGGCCTCTTTATAGCCTATCTCTTTCAGTTGTGCATTTGCTCAAGCTCAAGCCTGCCTTTTGATGTACTAAGAGTAGATTTCTGATTGGCAACTCACAAAGGATTGAAATTGGATGACTGCGCATTTGGATAGGCAAGTGGGTTCTACATCTGAGAGCTTTGAGGAGTGAAGGAAGAAAAACAATGTTATTTTCATCTCAGCTTCTTAGTTTAATTTACTTCAGGAAATTGATTGTTAGAAAAGCAGACAAGACTACACACTAAAATAAAATGGAAAGTGAAATTAAAAAATCAAGCTCATTCTTGAGTGACTCTTTTCTTCCTGAAAATTAATTTCTCCTTTCTACTCGGCAGCTCGGCCCATGACACGTATGACCTTGACGACCCCTACGATTGTGGCTAGGGCTCAGAAGCGTAAGATGACAGTTGCAACTTGTGTATCTGCGAATGGAAAGCCCCCAAGCGTGATCAAATGGGATACCAGGTTGAAAGGCGAAGCCACTTACCAGGAGACTCGCAACCAGAATGGGACAGTGACGGTCCGGAGCAACTATGTGGTGATACCGAGCCGCGAGACCCACAAACAGAAGCTCACGTGCATCGTCACGTACCGAAATGAGAAGATCACAGACAGCGTGGTGCTCAACGTTCAGTGTAAGACACCGCTCTCCTACTACTTCACTATTTTTTGTCTGTGCTTTTATTTTGTCCTGCATCCACGTGATGATTTTGTCACCAGATGACACCACTCAGCACAGTTTACACCAAAACAAAGGTTAATTACTAGAAAACAAATGAGCAGTAAACTACAGCGCCAGACTCAGTCTAAGCATGTTAGAAATCTATTTTTCCCCAGTTCTGTTGACATAACTTATAGAATCAATAATTAATAGAATGACTGAATAAACAATTATTCAAGACAAACACTATTTACCAAAAATGATGTATTTAGAGAAAAATCAATGCTTAAACAAGACCTGTTTTTTCATGTTGTGTTGGCAAGTGTGCCATGGTTCTTTTACACTGCTGTATTATTTGGATGACCAAAATTTTTAACCTTTTTTTCAAGATTCTGGTGTTTTCAAGCAATTATTATTAATATTATTTTTGCAAAAGTAGGCTTAGGAAATGTTGAAAAGTATCATTGTTATCATTAAAAAGATGAATAAATAAATAAAATTAAACCACACAACCTAAACAATAGCCTCCTAGTCTACTTTTAGGGTATATTACCAACAGTTAGTATTTGGTGCAGGGCTTTAGACTCAGTCATTAACAGCTGGCTGGTTCTGCCTTTCAGGTAGATGTAATGCCAGTTTTTGTTGCCACTATTTTCTCTTAAATTTTCAAAGTGAGACTTTGAAACAAACTCCACTGGAGCCTGTCCTTTTAAACGTTGTGGCAAAATGTATTCTATCATCCACTAGAAAAAAAACTTCAAAACACCAGACAAAGCTTCTTCTCTTCTTTATATATTACTTACAGGCATCTCTGCTCTCTTTTCTTCAACATCCATCTTGAATGTAGGGACAGAGCCAGCGGTTAACTGACTATTATGCTACCTGGCTAGATAGCATTATCCAGGATGGCATTCAGCTGTATAATTTTATAAATGTGCAGTTATTATTGCTACGATTGCTCATATGTCATACGTTTTCTTGTGCCTTAAGACAGGTAAATGTTCATTGATGTCTATATAATTGTTAGAACAGTGAGTAATATGGGTGTTAATAGAATTAATAGGTGTCCTTTCTGAATAAGCACTCCAAAGTGCTCTAGGTGGCCAAAATCGTAATGCACTTATGTTTATAATACATAAACACAGTTGGCATTTTGTCTGTTTACCAGTAAAGCATTATTTGTATCATGCATTATCTGAAATTATTAGCAGTATACCATTAGATCCTGTGAACTCCTGACACTACTAGTCCATTTAATCTTTTATATGCAGTTTTCATGTGAATAAGTAGCATAAAGGTAAAAATTAAATGTGAAGAAGTAGATAATTTTTTCTTTTTTTTTAGATCATCTGGTCAAGACGATTTTTGATCCATTGTCTCAAGCTAATATGAGCTATCTGCTACTTTAAAGTGGACGGGTTTGGAAAGGCAAACTGCTAGTGTCCTTCAGCAAAGGCACAATAATAGAGCAGTGGATTATGAGGGATAACTGACAGGAGTGCTCTTTCCTTGCAGATGAACCCGAGGTGCAGATCGAGGGGTTTGATGGAAACTGGTACCTGAACCGTCAGAATGTTCAGCTGACCTGCAGGGCTGATGCTAACCCCCCTGTCACGATCTACCAGTGGAAACTGTAAGTATGGCTAAACCGTAACAAAACACCTTAAGGCTCAGAGGACGAGGCTGCAGGGATACACGCTGTTTTTCTCAGGTTAAATTTCTAGGGGAGGAAAAAAAGTTTTATAGAGGGCTTACTAATGCAACGGGAGGCAATTTCACCGAATGGTCAAAGTGAACATTTGTTTCAAGGCATATATACAAGAAAGTAATCTTCAAAGATAAAAACACTGCTGCTTCCTTCATCCTCTCCAGAAATGTGTCTCAGTTTATTTGTTTGTTTGTTTAGAAAACGTGTAATGAAGATAAGACTAGGACCCAAGGCAGAGCACAATGGGCCTATTACAGCAGCAACATATACCCCTATCTCCCCGATGGTCACAGATAGTGGGAGATAAATGCAAACAGAACACCATTTGCTTTGCTTTTGGGGATGTGCTTTGAAGTCGGAGGGCCAGGATGCAGGTAGAGGGGTGAGAAAGCATCTTTGTTAGTGCTGTTGTGTTCTCTGAAGGGCACAGATGCAGCGGGTTGTCCCCGAGACAGTAAAGAGACGGCTGAAACTGAAGCTGAAGTGGGAGCCATGGATTAAGCCCACATACCGCAGGCCTGACATCAGGGCTTTCGCCTGAGAGCCTACCGCTGAAAATACAAAGGCTAGAACAGACACAAACATGATTTCGAGCTGTTGGAGAATTGCTAAGTAACCTCAGGTTTGATCTGCTCTAAGGAACAGCATGAAAAGTGGGCTTACAGAAATAATGAAGTAAGTACTGAGATATAAAAGAAATAAAAGTGAATGCATAACTGCCATAATTTTGACTGATCAAACCCCTCACTGCCTTTGAATATCAGATGCAAGTACCAAAAAAAAAAAGACGAGGAAAGAATAAAGAAGTAAAGTGGGTGCGGTTCTTCGGATATAAAGAGTATCACCTTTTTAAATTCAAGTATTATATTATAAAATTGAGAGATAAATGTAGCAATTTGTCCTTTAATTGCTTAGTAAAAGAAAGGTTGAGAAATATGTCAGTGGACTTGAGTGGATGTGGATTAATAGACCATTGTGCCCTCATTGTATCTACTCTACAGACGACTGCTGGATTTTAATGAGACAGAAGGGGTTTCTTTTTCTCCCGTTCTGTCTTATTCATAGATTTAGCTTTCAGGGTAGAAAGACTGATACTTACTGATATATAGACATAGCAGCAGAAGACAAAGACAAAATGGATATTCTGTTTGGCCTGTTTGGGTTTATTTTTTTATCAGAAGCAAGGCGAGATTTAAGGAGATAGAGGAAGATAGGAAGAGAAGAGGAGGCGAAGAGGAAGAGATGTTAAGAGATGTGATCTAGAAAGACGAGGGCACTGTGCTGACAGATAGGAGAGGACGGCCATTGCTGCACTGAAAATGAGATGCCAAATCTGTTGTGAAGGTTCCCCTGGGCTCCACTGTGGAGGTCAGCACAAGGCTGTGACGGAACGATCCAGAACAAGCTGGCAGGATTGCGTCACACTCAACTCCAAACACAGACATCTAAAAAGGAATTGAATATAGAAATTCCAAGAAAAAAACACTACATAAAAGGTTTATTTTATGTATTTTTTATTTTGTGTTGTGTTCAATTTACTGTTGGAACTATAATTAAAAAAAGTTTGCTTTTACTTTGCACAATCACTTTCTGCCTTCATATATAGTCCTTGAGGAAAGCATCTAAGCCTCTTTGATTTTTTTCTCTTGTTCTTAGAGCACATTGCCAGAGCTATTTCTCAAAATGGGTTAATGGGGAGCTTCACTCAAGTAGCTCAGCTAAAAAAAGGAATGCATCCTGTATGAACTGTGTTGTTTGTTTTTGAAATGTTTGTTCGTACGGCATCGTTTCTGGAGTCTGTTTTAAGTGCACACAGCAGTTTTGAGTGGGCATTAGAACAATAAGTACAGGAAAGGTGAGCTAAAAACATGGCTATTCTTTCATACATTCAATTCACTACAGTTATGAGATGTTTTTAAAAGAAAAGAAAGTATTTCAAGCAGACGCATCATTTCCCGTTAAAAATAAAAATCTGTATTATTTAAAGTAAACTGCTGCATTCCACTGTGTGATTGCTGCAGACTTAATTAGCCAGCTTACTTATCTGTATTGTGAAAAATGTGATTCTATTAGTCATGTCAATGAAAGGCCACAATAAAACAACTGTTGGTTACATTTTTTGCTCACCAGTCAGTGTGAATAAAACCTGGAGAGCCCTCTAAATTATATTTAAGTTGTATAACAGCTTTGTACAACTACTTCTGCTTGAGCACTTACTAAATATTGCTCCTTGCTCCTGTTGCCTGGGGTTTCTCCAAAAAAATAACATTTCACGTTACACAAATTTAAAGTATAAGCGGACAGATGTGTGATTAAAAAGAGCAATCCTGTTAATCTCTTCTTTTAACTAAAATTAGGTTGTGATCTTATCAGTTTCCTATTACCAGTCCCATTAATTATTGGTAGTATGTTTTTCACCTCCACATAATGTTGTTAGTTGTTAAATGCTGCTGTTTGGCATTCTGTCCAATCACACACACACCTATATGCACACACATATCATATATATGCTTGCGCATGACTGGCTAGCGAGGGAATAGAAAATATACATAACTCGTAAGTTGTTTGTTAGTCTTTCATTTTTCTGGTTCCGCACACACGTGCACACGCAGACATGCATTCAAATGTCTGACACAAATGCAGACATCTTCGGTAGTGGCAGAGTCCGTGGTGAATCACAGTTTGCCGGCCTTTCATTTCTGCAACAAATCAATTGGGCTTTGCAGAACTCAGCATTTGATAGCGGCTCACAAGGTAACTGATTATTGAATCGTGACATACTGTATTGAGGGTTGTTTGTGGCTCCATTGCAATTGCTTTGCCAAGGTGGCCAATGAAAACAGCTCAGCCGCAGCTCTTTCTATTACTTTTGTTCTGAACTATGGACTTTTTGTTGCTACAAAACTATACTGTGGTATTTTTTTATATTTTTATTTTGCCTTGTTTTGACATTTTCTTCTGTCAGATAAATTTAACCACACGGAGATCAGCTATTTGTACTTAACATTTTTATTAAATACCTTGTCGGTGTGTCGTAGGCCCTGTCATTGCAGAGCCTTGTTAAAAGCCTGTTAAGTGAACCTCAAGTGCTTGATGCGTGACCATTGTGAGCATGAAACTTAATATTGTTGCCTCGCCGTGATGTTATTTTGTTTTTCTCTCACTGTAATGAATAGGAGCACTACATTGTTTTTGATGTTCTTGCACGCCTGCACTTCTCAGTGTGCCTTTCTGAGCCCACAGTAGTGGAGGAAATCTTTGCAGCATCCTTATTGATTAAAGAAACAACCAGCAGCTCACCTCAGTCAGACCAGGGGGCTCTTTAATATTATCATGATGTTTTGTAACTCTGCTCAAGCTGGGCCTATTCAGAGCAGGTGATGAGGCTAATTGAGGGAAACTCAACAGGAAACATCTAATTGTCGTGAAATTTGATGCCTTTTCTAGCCTGCGGGCTCCATAAAAAGGGTCCAGATAATACAATAGAGGCTTTGTTTGTTCATGATCCATGGCCTCAAAGTCTGCTGACCTGATCAAAGGACATGAGCAAGTCTGAACACAGTAGAGATAGTGAACCATGAAGACAAACACCTCAGGCAGGAGAAACAGGCTGCAGTTCTCAATGACAGCACAGCATTTGGTAGATTCTGCATTTATCGCTTGATCAGCTGCCTCTCCTGACAGCTCCCCTGAGTTTTGACTTCAGCCATGTGTGCTGTGCTGTAGTTTAGGAAGGAAGCCCCCCCCCATCCCCTTTACCCCCTACAATCCTCTCCTCTGCCACTGCTTTGTATTCCACGTGTCAAAAAGTCCATGTCCTCAGGCATCAGCTATATCTTACCTGTTTGGACCTGCTGGGATTCCCTGTCCTCATAATTTTGTTTGGACTTGATGGATGATGGCTGAAATATAGCACTGTCAAATATTCTTGGTATTTATCTCACACCCACACCCACATCCAAGTTTGTTTGGCACTAGAGACTGTATTTTTTATGCGCTTTGAATTGCTTTGCTGCATCTGGGAGGGTTTTTTTCCTTTTTTTTCAGTGGTCTGGAGTAATTCTGCCTTTTTATGGCATCTGCATTATTGTTCCTCTCTCTTTTTCTCTCTCTCTTTCATCGCAGTTTAAATGGCTCCCTACCCAGCAATGTGGAAATCAAGAACAACACCTTGTTCTTCAAGGGCCCTGTGACCTACGACTTGGCTGGGACGTATGTCTGTGACGCTACCAACGGCATCGGGACTCGCACCGGCATCGTGGACGTCAACATCACAGGTAGGCTGATTAAGCTGGTCATTTCTCTCTCTCCAGTAACTCTGGCATGGCCTGATCAGTGCAGTAGCCCTCTAAAAATTCAGTCAGAAAGGATCAGACCCCCTTCTGCCCAAATAAACACAGCTATCAGTGCACATGCACATACCAGGTGATTGCAGCAGATCGCCTGCGGAGTTTCAATGTGGATCCAGCTTGCCTTAGTTGTGGGGCACCCTGCTGAACAGTATGGCAGTTTGGGTGAAAAAAAAAATCCTCTCTGTTTGTGTATCAGACTTTCACACACTGTGAGAACCACCGCCCCCCTCCCGACCTGCCCTGTTACACATCCAAGCACATGTGTGGGAGCAACATAAAGCAGGTCTATTATCAGTGCCTAAAATAACATCAAGGAAATTGGGGGTTTGAGGTGAGGGTACTGTATTGATCATAGTTTGCTTGCATCATGCTCACATCTCTCTGAGCTCTGTGCTAGTTCTTTTGTCTCCTCTTCTTCTTCTTCTTGTCTTCTGGGGAAAACAAAATGCTGAACAAAACTGATTCAGTTTCCTTGTATTCCACATAATTGTTGGCACACACGCACTGTGGTTCCTCTGGGTTCTTATCCATAGGAGACGATATTATGCCCTCAAAGCCCCAACTGCAATATATGCCAGATCTGACCTTGCTAGACAGACTACAAATGTGGAGATCATCTATTATTGCTACCAGCTGTGTGCGTGTGGTATTGGGAGACTGTCACAGTTTTGCTCTGGTCAGACTGGAAAGTCTTTTCCCCTTTGCTCTCTGCGCTGCTTGGTTTCTGGGAAGCCGAGGTGTTCTAACTTGCATTGCTTTGCATGTTGACTCATGTTGTGTCTCTGGAAACGCTCTGCTTGGTGTGAAGTGAACAGCTGCGCCTTACAGTATCATTGCATACCTTTTTTTTTTCTGTTTCCTCTCTTTCAGTGTGTTATTCTCTGCTGGTAAGGGTAAGGCTAAGACAAAGAAGCTTTGTAGGATGTTGTGTGATGTCATTACCTGCATTGTGAGGAGTTGCCCTCCCAAAGCAGATGGGCTAGTAGCGTTATAATAGAGGTTTCAAAGGAGTCGGAACAGGCCTTTCTTATCAAACAGAAGATGAGGAAGTAATCTGCTGTTAGGAAATCGCTGTGCACCAGCTTGTATTGAGTAACTGGGTTCCAAGGAGATATACTGTTTGGCATAAAGTACTGTACCCCCTTTTGGAAAGGCAAAACAAAGGCACCAAAGTAATTTTCTATTTCTTCTTTTTCATTGATTGCTTAAATTAACAAACCACATTGCTATTGTCCCAGTAGTCTTTCTGTTTATTCTCATCATTTGTCTATATAATTGTATCGAGTGAGTGAGGTGAACAATGCGTGGGTACACGATGTGAGTGCGTTCGCTTTCAGGTCGCCTCCGTGCAAAATTGGAATCTAAGCATTCTGCTTTGTTTTTGTCTTTGAACCTTTTGAGTTTTGAAGAAGTTTGCACTGTGCTCAGTAGCAGGTTAGAGGAAGCAAAATGACTAATTCCGAGGCTGTGAAAATACATTTGGTTCTCAGTAGTAGGTCATTGTTCCTTTCTGTCACTCTGCATGTTTACAAATAATGAATGTGCTTCATTATTACAGTTATTACATATAATTATGCATTAAAACGAATTATTGAATTTTTTCTACTTGACAGTTAGATTGTCACTTGATATTTGTAGCTTTAATAACTGCCGTCAAAGAAAAACTATATTATCAAAGATTAAATGCCACAAAGCACCCAGTGGTCTGTTTGCCGTCTCTGTAGTAACACACTGGCTGAATATATTGTTGTTCTGTACTATTTGATGGCAAAAGTTCCCGATTTCTTTCAAGGATATATTCTCAAAGGGTACCACACAAGTCTTAAAAGCATGTTGCCAGTTCCCATAGTAACAGTTACAAGTTAAAGGGAGAACAGCCAGATTCCCCCTGCGAAAGCACAGTTCAGAGCCTCAGCTCTGACATGAAGCCCCATCAAATTACACAATGCCTTATAAGCAACTCAGGTTGATTTGAAGCATTAATGCAGTTTCCTGCTTTAGGATGCACACAAAGGGCGACAGAGGCGGTCTCGTCCCCGTGTCTCGTACACTAGCAACATGGATATCTTGCAGTGGTGTGATGCATCTGCTTATGCGCTCTTTGCTGATGATGTGAAATTGATAGCATTCCCATGATAGTGTGTACTTTGTCACCAGAAACTCTGAGTTCAGTTAAGATAGTTCAGTTCGGTTCAGGAGACATTTGTGACTGCAGATCTGCACGGCTGACATGACTGAAAAGACCTTTACATGGGAACTTCAGGGTGTTCGCAACATTTCCTATTGACTTTTCTGAAGTGCTCTTTGCTGCCTTGACATTGGCGGTGCATAATGACCCAGTGGCGCTGGTGTAAGAAGTGTGCTGATGCTTCATTAACTTCAAAAAGCATCTTTGTGCTTTGCAACTTCAAAGAGGTCTGGCTGAGACATAGCAGGTGAGAGAGCCCACTGCTGGCTGCTGTTCATGGCTGCACCATTAGGCCTCAGTAATCCTAGCTAAGTGTACTGTGCTGAAAAGGACCAAACCACTATCTTCGGCACATTTGTTCAGAACATCATATAGCTGCTAGAGCTGCCAGATTTTTTTGACCAGTGAAAACACAAAATAATAATTTATTTCCCTTGTTAAAAGCCCATTTTAATGGTCTTTGAACATGGAGACTCCCAGGAGAGTTTTGTGTTACTAGAGTCAATAAATCATCATTGTTCCTGGTCTTTTTGTCCTTTATTAAACTCTATCATTGACAAATATGACACCCAAGCAATCTTGTCACTATTATACATAATTTTGTCCATAGAAAGATTTATCCATATGCATACGTTTGTTTGTTTTTTTCTGTTTTCAAGTTCACTTATAGATTGCCACCATAATATTCACCTGCTGTGGCGACAACCTTGCTTGATGTCAGGAAGATAAAACGTCCATGACGTCTCATTTGTATAGCAGAAAAGCTATTTTCCCACAGTGGAATGCAGCACACGTGGGGGATTTTAAGAAAGTGTGTTTTAATCAAACTACTCAGTTTTCATGGACAGATTGGTAGCTGCATAGCTGTCACCTATGCAGATAGCAGGGCCACAGAGCACCTTGTTTCAATTAGTTCTGGGATAGTGTTTGCTGCGGAGATGGCATCGACTATGGTCGAGTCACATGGGCTAAAATGGCTTTCTCCAAGGACATGTGTTCTGGAGAAATGGTGTCACTTGTCAGAATCTAATGAAGCACTCTCCTGGTTTAATCAATCCTCGCTCTCAGAAAAAGAGGTGGAAAGGAAGTCTAGGGGAAAAGGAAGAGAGGGAGGGGGAGGGATCTATAGCGAGGGAGATGAGTTTCATGTAATGGGTCTCTTCTTAGCAAATACCTCACTCATTTACATGCAGTTCAGAAATCTCCTGAGAGAAAGTTGACAAGTCGTCAGATCTGATTAATCAGCTAATTACCAACGGGTATCAGAGGCCGTGTTAAAAAATAGAGACAATTAAACAGCCTCACAATGTAAGTTATTTTGATGAATCCTTCTCAGCAGCCTTTAACTGTCTAATAGGAATGTCACTCAAGCAGTCACCCCTGTAAAATATTGCAGCTGAGAAAGCCACAGGAATAATGCGGTTAAACCTCAAAGATCCTCCCCAACTTAAGAGAGACAGAATCAGTCTTTCATTAAGATAATCAGCTTTTCCACCATCAGACTCTGTTTTTGTGCTTGGAACAAATCAATGCTGCCATCTTAAATTTCTTCCTAGAGCTTAATAAGTTCTGATGAATGGCTGTTTTGCAAGGATGGCCTTACAATTATGTCATTATCACCCCTGAGAAAGGATATGTGTGGTTTTATTCTTGGCAGCGCACAGTTTTGTGACATGTGGGAAAATTAGCTTCAGTGAGGGGGAAGTGCATTTGTTTACTCATTTTAACCTTGACTCACCCACACACCAGCACTCGTCTTTGAGAGATAGGGGCCAGAGTGAGTCAAAGACGTTGCATTATTCCAGCCATATTAGCAGGATCAGCTATGAATGATGATATCAGATCAGCTAGGGGTCAGCTAGTATGTGAACCTTTGGATGATTCCCCTTACAGCTTAGCAGCACTAACTTTCATCTTCCTTTGTCAGAGCTGTGGCAGAGAGCTGCTTTAGAGAGCAGAGGTGCAGTCAGCTTTGCCACAGGGCTTTACCAGTTGGGTTAAACTGGATGGAGTGACAGCGTTCTCATCAATTTAGCAAGAAAGCGTGAGGATGGATCCTTCTGTAAGCAGTCAACCGGTGCCAACATCTGTTCACGCTTCCCTGAACACGCAATAGTTGGCTGCCATGTGAGAAAATGAAGTTTAGAAAGAAGAGGTGGGGGAGAAATCCTAGTCATGTGCCAAAATTATTTGAATAAAAAAAAAAAAATAGTTAGACATGTATAGGTAATGTATTTATGTCACTGAAGGAGAAATTTGAGTTCGTCTGTCTGATTTTTAAAATTTATTTCCAGCCAGACAGCATCGGGGAAGTGAAAGAGGAAGAGAGGGCATGAAACTGTTTACAGGCCTTTATGTAACAGCCTGTGTCAACTTCTAGTGTTCACTGGTTGTCACTTCTTCTTTCCTTCTAGTCCTACAACACTATAATGTGCAAAGACAGTAATACACAGTGATAGTGAGAGAAGGTGACATTGATTTAAGAAAAAAAAGGCCTATGTGGTTTTTTATTTACATTTCTTCTTCACCGGAAGCAAATGAGGTTATTGTCAGGAGAATTCAGTATGCCTATATAATGATTGTGAATGCTTACCCGCCAGGTTGGCAGGAAAGCAGCAGCGGGTAATGGGAAATAGCACAGGGAGCTTCCTCAGCATAAATTTAAATTACTGACAAGAAGATGCTATCTGAGCTGACATTAGATCTTTTAATTGCCTTAAATATTATCACGACTCTA